ACATCACTGTGAGAACTCAACAAATACTGGTTAGTACTCAAGACTTTCTAAAGCAATGTCAAACTTCAGCTCACACAGAGATTATTAAGGGGAAGAAAACAATTGCTGATAGCTTTGTGCTTTGTCAGACAGCCCCCTTTTCAAGCAGTGATCCATTATTGGCCCAGATGTTAATTTCAACGCTGTTTGCAGTCATCCTCAGTCCTGCTGCTCTTTGTTTTGGGGGGGTTGTCATATAGAGGGCCCTTGGTCAGCAGGTTTAGCTACACAACTGCATATAAAGAGTGACATTTCTCTAAGAACTCAGTACCAAGAAGAGTCCTGTCCTAATGTTCAAAATTCAGATGCCAGGGGATTGGGGTTGAGCCCACTTCATTCCTTCCCTCTCATTTTGACACCTTAGAGCTAGAAATCCACAACACATATGGATTTACATGCACTGAGCCAACATACCTAAACAGCATTTACATCACATAAACTGACATTTATGAGTAGCAGTTCACTCTTTGGCTGTCAGTTGAGACACTCTAGCAGGTACATCTCTGTGCATTCCACTCCTTCAAGCCCCATCATGTTACCAGAATTTTAAGTACCTGCTTTAGACTACTGCTCTGTATATTGAAGAGGGAAATGTGATTTTTAACTGCCATAGTGTTGTACTCAGATGACTATGCCTGAAACACTTTTTTGCTGAGATTAAAGACCCAATGGCCAAAAACCTATTGGCAGTTCCAATTTCAGTAGACTCACTGAATCAATGTGATTTATACATTTGTTGACTACCATGCAATAACTGAATCAGTACGTTTACTCTAGTTTGGACTACAATATGATGTAGGGCAATAGTGCTATGAATCCTGGAAGAACACGAACAAACTTTAATTTCCACACAGGTTTCATATACACAAGCTCATCTTGAACCTCAATTTGCTATAAAATGGAAGTATAAATCTATGTATGTTTGCAGGAGCTTTTGCCATAGGCTTGAATAATTTGGAACATTATTTTTAAAAGGTTGTATGTTGTCCAATTTTTTAAAAAATAAAAGGTTAATGTTATCAGCTATTTCAAAAGTAACAAATTAGTGGCACATATAACAAAGCAAAGCAAAAGGCTTGTGGCACCTGTAAGACTAACACATCTATTTTACCATGGTTTTGTTTTGGTTTTTTGTTTTGTTTTGTTTTGCATTACAATCTACTTCTTCAGATGCATGGAGCACAATATTCAGGGCACAAGTATATATACTCAGCGTGTAATTGAACAATGGACACATAGGTACCACATTATATTGAAAAACTACAGATCCATACACATTCTTCCAGCACAACACATCAAAAATACATTATCTTCCAGGCATGCTCACTAACACAACAGCTTGTGCTCTGATATACAACAACATTCACGCATTTACAGCAGACATTCCTCCAGCTACAAAGTCCAGTCCACAAGGTGGAGAAACAAACTGTGAGGACAAGACTGCCCCCCAGGAGAAAGTTAATTTGAGACAGACCACCAAAGAGAGAGTGACAGAACACCCCCTACAATTTCCAGCCACCTACATGTATCATCAGCAAGCTAATAATAATAATAGTTCTCTCTTACAGGCTTTGGATAAAGGGCCTCTGCTTGTTACCAGCCATCCCACACTATCCAAGGTATGTATACAAAAATGAGCTGTAAATTCTATGAATTTGACAGCATATCAGAAGAACAAACATTTTTTTTCATTCCACCTTGGAATAGTAAAGAGCCTGGACTTTGAAATTGTGTCTGAGCGATTGTCTGAGCAATCATACTTGCAAATGAGGAACTGATTTCCTTTCCTATGATTGGTCACAAAACAAAAATTTGCCCATGCTGTGATGATCTTTCAGTACTGAAGGAATTTCCCCCTCTGTCACATATTCTGTGGCATGCATTGTTTAACCTACAGATCTTCAAAAGAATTACTTGTCTATAAATAGATTCACTCCTGACAGCACCCTTCTTGCTTCAGGCATTTCTTAAGTCAACCATATTCTTATCTGGAGCTAGTTCTGCTGTTTCCTTTCTCCAAATCTTATTGTGACTTGCAACTAGAATTTTCAGATCTCTTGATCCCAGCAATGGTGTAAAATGCTGATAAAGATCTGACCTTACCATTAGCCAAAATGGGGAAATTGTATTATTGAGGTATCCTTGTTAAATGTAAAATGATACCAAATCTCCACTCTTCTCTTCTACAACCTTGTCTTGTGTACTTGCTCTCTCATATCTCTGCTTTATTTCATTCTCTTCCATCTATAATCATCATCATGTGCCATCAAGCCAAGTTCTTTTCAGGGTTTTCCAAATAGAGAATAATCAGAAGTGATTTACCATCCCCTTCTTCTGGGGGCATCCTGTGACTATGCAGTTCACCCATGGCCACACAGGCTGGCTCTACTCATGGATGGCACAGTGGGGAATTGAACTCCAAACACTCAGCTATCCAGCCAGCTCTTCCATTTAGAAGACCTTCAGAAAGACCCATATTTGCCTACCACTCTCTCAGTTTAACATTACAGATTCTAACCTCTTCATGGGCAAGTAAACTAATTTTGTCTCCAATTTCCTCTCTAATGCAGAATCTAAGTGGAAGTGTCTATAAGTAGGGCCATGTTCTTTCTTCTACTTAAAAACCCTGAAGTGATTTTGGAATTCTTTGTAAAACGTACCATGCTGCTCCCATATGGTTACCACTAGCTCATAAACAAAATGACACACACAAAAAAAATCAAGCTTAGTATGGTATTTTTTGCTCCATAAGACACACTTCCCCCCCCAAAAAAAAAGTGGGGGGAAAGTCTGTGCATCTTATGGAGCAAAGGCTGCGATTTCTCCCCCACTGGCACCGTGGGGGGGAGCGTCGCAAGG